TCTCTTGAAAGTATTCTAGGCGAGTGAAAAATTAGGGATTGGAACCAGAATTTTGTGCCTCTTCCGAATGTGGGCTCAGAAGTCATGTATCTATGTTTGCCGAAGAATAGTGAGTAAATCTTTGAATGTCCTGAAAAATTGGTGGGAGTGACGAACAAACAGACATTTGCGTCCCCCGCAAATTCCTTTGCAAAGGCACTCAAAATAGTTCAATTTGGTAGTTTTGTAGAGCGAATAATTCTTTACAAAATATTATGTCCAGCTAAAATGTAACTTTTATACAAGTGAAACTATAGCCATTTTTGCAAGAGCTACTTCTACCTAAATCTGATTTTGATCAAAATTGCATTTGATAGAAAAAAAACAATTTAGGTGTTTCATCAAAACATAAAAATAAACTGAACTACCACATTTTGTAGAACAAATTTTGCTCTGTCAATTGATACGTGAAGAAAAGTTTCAATGTTTGATTTTGAATACCAATCGTGGAAATACGAAAATGTATAAAAAAAAAAAACTTTTTCGTCCAAACTAGGTGTTTGACCCTTTCAAAGATTTTCTCATTATTCTAGGGCAAAAACAGATACACAATTTCTGAGTCCACATTTGGAAGAGGCACAAAATTCTGATCATAATCTCTAGTTTTTCACTCGTCTAGACTACTATCAAGAGAGTCAAAAGAAAAAGGGCAAATATTTTGTCAAAAAAACATTTCGATAACCCTTTATGATATTTGTATTGATTTACGATGTATTTGAAATAGTTTCATTAGAAATTAAATACAAATTTTTGAGATAATTTTTTTTTTATTTTAAAACTTCATTCAAATATGAGAATGTAAATAGTTTTGAAAGATTTTATGAATAAAATCTATATAATTATGATACATAAATAAACGAGTTATTTGTTATCATTAGAAGTAGATACATAATGTTGTAGTATATTATATAAAAGGTGAGATTAACATTCGAAGGTAGAATAAAACCTTCGAGCACTTTTGGACAATTTTTATATGCTCCAATGAGTCTTTACATTCTTTGTAAATGATTTGTATTTTATTTAAAAATACCATTCTTATAAAACAGTTATAACCGAACACTATTTAATGAGATACCCAACACAATATTGAATTTTAATGGTTTATCATCTTGAGAAATGAAGTTTCTTTTTTATTTGATTTAATAAGTCTAAAAATGAGTAGAGATCTCTATATATATTGTAAATGATTCTTATATATTTTGTATTTAACTCAGAATGAATGTGCCTATCTGACAGAGAGAGAGAGAGAGAGGTTTTAGTTTTTACCAAGCATGAGTAATATTAAGATTGAGATTAGAAATTTCTTCTATTGTAATTGAATTGGAAGAAATTAATTTCGACTATTTACTTATATTATATTTATATGTTAGTGAAGCAAAAATAAATGATTGATTCATGTTAAAAATGGCGTGATAAAGTAAGTGAGATACTTAACTTTGAGGAAATGAAATGATTAAAAATCATCAGAGTTGAAAAAAGCAAAGGTCGCTCGGGATATTTTATAGAAATATTCTTGCATGTTATATTCAATACAATTTATCGTTAATTATCAATTACATATCCTCACAGTATATAAAACTAAGAATTAAAAATCTTTTGATGACAGCATTAATGGCAATGTAAAAAACATCAAAGTAGGGTTGTACTACTTCCAAAAATTGAAAAAGCATATGATTCAAGCTAATAACGCTTCGGACCATTTGAACTAGGATGAATGCAATGGAAATTATTTCCTGCAATTATTCATTCGCAAAAATATGGTTGTTTCCAACCGACTTTTACATAAAAATCAAACTGTGCGAAAAGTCTATAAATTTATACAGAAATCAAAATTACTTGCTGAACAATAATGCAAATTCATAAAAAAATCTTGATAGTGAGACAAGTCTTTCGAGCAGAAATGTTTCCATCTTTAGGTCAAAATAATGTCTCAATCCTTTGTACTTCTGAAGCTAGTCAAATCTGCGGCAATTCTTAATCAATGTGATAACTATCGAATTTCATTAGGAACTGTGGAATCTGTATTAAATTGTCGAGAAATAGAGAAGCTGATTTTGTCACTAAAAGTGACACAGATTTTTCTCTTTATATTCAAAAGTTTTAGTCATCGTTTAAGTCATTGAATTAGTTCTTTTTGAAGATAATACATTCAAAATCTTGTTAAGATTATTTATTAATGACAAGAGTGAAGAAATTCGTAGACTTTCTTGAGAAATTTCGATGAATAATTTTGAATTGTGTTGCCAAGACTATATATAATTTCATTACATAAAATACCATATATCACATGTCACAGACAATCATTTTCACTTGAAAGAGAGTCATCATATTTTAATGCCTACAAAATGTAGAGTTCGACTTGTTCATGTTGTTTTTTTAAATCTGACGAAAATTGATATATTCTATATTCTCTCTAATGTTGCTATACAGTATAAAAAATGTCTCATTCACAATGAATCTTTTCATATTCAGGTAACAGATTATAAATAACTCCTCTAGTTGTTAAGAACTCAACAATTCTAGCTGTTTTGATAAATCATATATCTCAATATGAACATATCCATTTTGACTGAAACTTACGATACATCATAATAAATATTGAAATCTTATTGTAAGTAAAATTTTAGATCTAAATTTCACCATTCGATTTCTTTAAAATGATAATCCTTGATAAAAATCAAATTTTCGTTACATTAATTATCACGTAAAACGAAAGACTTCAGAAGACGTTTTAATTCTTGACTTTATCTAGTCTCGATAGGTCTTATATAATGAAGAAATGTAATCTCAACATTTTTTTGTACTACTCGGAACGAATGATGACTCAGTTGTTAGTCACTATTGAGAGCTATCTCACTCAAAATTTTTCGATACATTCAATTTTCAAACGTTTATCATCGAAATCAAAGATATTAATCTTTCTTTTATAAATATTTTATTTTTAGGTTATTGTTGTAACATTAGCATTCGCTATATGCTGGTTGCCAATACATGTTCTTGAATTAATGAAATGTGGCAATCCAAAACTTCTTCATTCTCTTATTCAATTATATCCAAAAGCTCTTTATTCAATACGTGCATTTACGCATGCATTAGCCTATTTTAATTCCTGTTTAAATCCTTATTTATATGCTTTATTAAATCGTAATTTTTGTATCGATCTTGCTGATATAGTACCATCATGGATGTCATGTTGCAAGCAATGTGTTACAGTTGAAAATGAACAATTTAGGCATGGTCAAAAATTGTCAACAACAATGTTACCAAATCAAAATTTTCTTTTAAAAAAATATGATGATCAAGATGAAGATGATACAGATTATTATGAACAAAAACAAGGAACAAATGATGCTAGTTGTCAAGTTGAATTACTTCGAATAAAAGTTAACAATATGTAATTAAAATAATTCTTATAATTATGAGCAAATGAAACTAACGTACATATATAATTTTTTCTTGTTTCTTTTTTGTTTATTATATTTAAATAAGATAAAGCAAGAAAAAAAAAACAACATTTCATTTGTGATAAATTTTATTAAGTAGAAGTCAGTATCAATGGACAATATATTATACAATTATCACAGGTATATCTATATTGTCAAAATGGAATTAAAACAGAAAAAAAAAAGAAGAAATAGACAAGCATAATTTGAGTTAGTGGTTGCCATAAAAAAAAAGATATTGAGAGATCAAAATTGAATATAGCAGATACGATTAAACAAAAAAAAAAATGTTAAATCGAATGAAATATTAAAAAAAACACTTATTTGCTGAAATCATTTATCTTCTCGAGACAAAGTCATAAATCATCAGCTTATGAATAGAAAGAAAGAAACATGAGAAAAGTTCAAATTAAAGATAAATATTCTTTGTCATAATCAGCTCGATTAAGTTCATCCCAACGATAATGTGGATTTTGTTTTGAATAGCGTAGAGAAACAAGATGACCAACTTCATCCATTGCTCTTAATGCCTAATAAACGAAAATTGAATATAATAATAATAATAACAATAATAATACAAAGAAACTTCTTTTCTCATTACATGATCAAGCATTTGTTTTGTATGACCAGCTGAAATACAAAAGCGTACACGTGATTCAGTTAATAGAGTAGCTGGAAAGCCGACAGTAACAACAGCACAACCACGTTTTAACATTTCTCGGTTAACCGCTCTTGAAAAAACATCGAAACAAATATCAAAAAAAATCTTAGTTAAACAATTGTCTTACGCTATTTTAGCTGGCATAAAAATCATAACAGGCACAACAGGTGAATTATCATTACCATAAACAATAAAACCCATATCAACAAGTTGTCGACGAAAATAACGAACATTACAAGCTAATTGTTGAATACGTTTTTGACCTGAAATTTTTATTTAAATAAATTTTCTATCACTAAATCAAATATCTTACCATCATTAGTACCATCACGACCCATAATTATAGTCAATGCAGAGATTATTTGAAGAACGACAGGCGCTGACATACTCGATGAATAGCATGCAGAATGAGAATAAATACGAATATGATCAATCAATGTCTATTTAAAAGAAGAAAAAAAATTGTCAAACAAAAGAAAGAACAAAGAAAGAACATTAAACTTATACCTTTTTTCCAGCAATATAACCACCGGCTGATCCAAAACTTTTTGTAAATGTACCCATATGTATATCAATATCATTAGGATCAACTTTCCAGTAGTCAACAACACCACGACCACGTGGGCCGATTGCACCGATTGAATGTGCTTCATCAACATATAAGTAAGCTTTATATTTTTTCTTTATTGCGATTATTTCTGGTAATTTACATAATGAACCTTCCATACTAAAAAAAATAATAATAAGATGATTAAAAACCATGAAACAGTACTTATACATACCTGTATACACCTTCAACAATGATTAAAATCTTTTTCCATGGTCGACATGTTCGAGGTTGGCCGTGAATAATAGCTTCACGTAATTGTAATTCCAAGTCTTTTACATCTATCATGTAGATTAAAAAGTTTTAGTTTCAATTAATCCTTCGCTGGTAACTTTAACTAAATAATTTACACTGGAAATATAAAGATAAAACAATCTATTCAGTGTTAATTGTTATAATCTATAGAAAAGATAGTTTACTATTCATATGGTTAAGTTCAAAGAGTAGAATGTTCGCTTTCGAACGGATATTGACTTAAGACAGGCAGTATTATTAGAAAATAAACAAAATATCTTTTTCCTTTTAACAAAACATAAAAGAGAAACTTTGCTAACACGACTTTTCAATGATTATAAATATTCTTCTATTCAATTTGGCCTAATTCTCTACCAAATAAATTTTATCCTTTCATTAACTATGGCATGTTTATAAAATATCTATTTATATCATATGAAACTCCTTTTCATTAATAAAAAAAGAAGAAGAAAACAATAACATCTACGTCAAATTGTTCGTGTTACCAAGCTAATATTCATTTCATAGTTCATTTAACATTTAAAATAATCGGATATTAAAAAAAATTAAAAAAAAAAAAAAAGAATTCCTTATCATACAAGAACGATAATTCTTTCTTATTAAAATATTTACCATTATGATCAAATGTACGGATTATTGCTCCAGATAAACGAGCACCAAGTATAAGTGAAACATGATTCAGTTTATCACTAAGTATTAAATCACCCTATGAATAAAAGAGAAAAAAAATTTACGCATTATTATTATTTTTTTTTAAATAACAAAATTAAACAAAAATAAATTTACTTTTCCAACTAATGTCGGAATGTTTAGTGCATTTGTTGCAAAACCCATACCAAAGGCAATACAATCTTCGACATTTAAATATTCAGCCATTAAAGATTCAAGCTCTTTCATATATTGTTGATTTCCTAATTCATGACGCATACTACATGTTGTAACACCATATTTTTCTATAGATTTAATTGCTCGCTCAGAACATGGACCTTGATTTTCAGCAAAACCCAAATAATTATATGAACCTAAGTTAATTGATGGAATTTTTTTACCACTAAATCTATTAAAAACAAAAAAGAGACATTTGTTTTTTTGAAAATTTCAAATAATTTTTCTTACTTAAATGTCCAATTAAAATCATCTGAAAAACGTTCCATAACATGAACTTTAGCTCCAGCAACACTAGCTATTGGTTGGTTAAATACATCACGTATACGTGTATATAAATTACGTGTATAAAAACATTCATAACTTTGATAAAGTGGTACAAAATCCTATTTATTTAAAAAAAATCAAAAGATAACTTATTATTATTTATTTTGTTTTTTGTTCGATCGTTTCTTGGAAACAAAAATGAACATACTCTTGGATTAGGATCATTAGCAGTTTTTTTTTCTTCTAAACCTATATTACGTAGGAAATCTCGTAACCAGCCAAGTGCACTAAGAATCGCATAACCAAGAACAGTAACAACAGCAGCCCATGTTGGTGTTTCTTCAAATTTTTCATGATTGTCATATTTAAACTTATTTTCAGATATAAACTTTAAATTAAAAAAAAATCACATTGAAATCTTCAAAAAACAAAAAAAAAACAATTATTTTACTTTCGACTTTGAATTTGATGATAATGACTTGTTCATGTTTTTATCTAAACTTTGATCCATAGTAGTTTTTGCTGACATCTAAAAAAAACACACTAACTTTATGATACTTTTTTATGGTTTTAATAAATAGAATAAGATAAGTGTATTTGACAAAGATGAGAACAAAAAAAAATAAATAAATAATTTTTATTTTTATTATTTTTTTTTATCGTATGTTCTCACCGGCAAACTTATTTTATCAACATCTACAACGCAAAGAACAGTAATACTAAAGAACAACTATTTGCATAATGACTGCTACTCTGCACACCCCCGCTTTTAGAAGCCAGAAACAGAACACGAAGAAGAAGAAAAAAAAATCTCCTTTGGATGTTTGAAGAAAAGCAACGAACACGTCTAGAGTAGTATTAGAATCAATGTCGTCAACTCACAACATAGTAACAAACATTTTCTTCGCTTTTTTTTTCCATTTTATAAGCATAACCTCTCCTATTGTCCCAAACACGCATATATATATATATATATATTTAAACCTACTTTCAATATCCTTTCTATCTCCTTTAATTAAACCATATTCACAGACGTATAATATCGATTCTATTGAGGATCAACTGAATCACTTGAAAAATATCGTACTTTATGTGATTAACTTACTCTTTAGATTTTATTGTTCTGGCCTTCAGCTATGTTTTTATTTGTTACGAACAGGATTGTACAAAGAAAAAAAGAAAGAAAATTTGAGTGTATCGAAACGTGACCGCAAACGCTCATCGTGGACTTAATTTAGGTGACACATTGGATGTTTCATTTAATCAAACATGCTTTACATACGCGTATACACCATCGGTTGCTAATGCGTGCAAAAAAATTTGCCTATATCGGCAAGAAAAAAAGGGAAGAAGAGAAATAGAAAGAAGAAGAAGAAGAAGAAGAATAGAGCGATGAAGAAAAAGAAAGAAAAAAAAATTGAAAGAGCGTTTATAATTTTATGATCCATCTTCTTACTCATCTATTTCAAAACATCTATATCTTCATGTGATATACGGTAGATTCGTTCTTAATAAGAATGAATTATAAAAATAAGAAAAACAGATGATTGATGAATTTTCAAAGAAAGTTTTTTGTTTTATAAATATTTCTCAATGATCGATTCATTTTCATTAAAAAAAAACTAATAAAAATACGTATTCTATCTCAATTTAATATAGTTGTTTCTAAATGCAAAAACTTTGACACTAAAAGTTTTGTTTTCTTCTTTTTTTTATATTCCTGTATTTGCTAATAAAACAAAGTAGTGAATAGGACATTTATGAATGTAAAAAGAATCAAGAAGACGACAGTCTTTAACGTTAATATTACTTCACTTTTCCGGAAAAGAAAAAAAAAAAAAAGATAGAGTTACTTCTATTCTGACAATTATGAATAAAAAGAAACGATTGCAAGACGTTTCTTGTGTTTGAATACTTGTTTTTTTTTTTTACTATAAATGAACATCAGGTCATGATATTCATTTTCTTCTTATTTTTCTAATTTCAAGAATAAATGTAGCCTCGTGAAACGTCATTACAGTTCTTTAAATAGAATAAAATAATGAACCTAAAGATAAGTCTATTAGAAAAATTAAAATATTCTCTATATATCAACTTTTCATAATCTTTAATTACATCATTGAGTAAAACGAAAATACGCAGAAATTCGGATGTAGATTATTATTAAAAACATAAATAATATGACAAATGACTTACAATATTGGTACTTAAAAATGAATGATATGACTTGAATTTTGATTAAGTTAAATCGATATTGATCGAGCAATCGAGCTTATGATT